ATTAACAAAAATGTACAAAAAAAAGAAGAGGTAAAGTAAAATATATAAAGTAAATAATTACATATTAAGAGTAACAACAAAACTATTTATTCTTTGATAGATTGTTTAGGCAGAGTATTCATGATGAAACTTTGTAGAATGGATGGTAACTGCCTGTTGTAGAGAGACAAGTGTAGAGGACGAGGTTTCGAAAGTCTTTCATCTTCAGGTTAGGGTGTGTAAGGTGTTGTCGTTCTTAAAATTATTCTGGTGGATTGTGGAGAGCATGTTATGATTGGTTGGTTTATCACTGTTTCTGATTGGAGGAGAGATTTTCTGTAGATTCAACCAATGGTAGTCACAGGTTACTCGCATCTAATCCAGAATCTCTGTTTAGTGAAGGTTTAATTGTGGTAATATAATATGATTCTTTAATTTTTCTTGTCTTCCAAAATTTGTCTGTCAATGATTCTAGTTTTTTCCCGGTTTATTTTGTGTCCAGTTGACATGGTGTGTTCTGCAATGGCTGAATTTTTGTGTCTTCATAAGTCTTGTACTGTCTTTATGTTCTTTATTCTTGTCACGAGTCTTCTTCCCATTTCTCCAATGTATGTTTCTTTCATAAATGAAATTCTGTGTTCCTGCAACTGGACACAAAATAAACTGGGAAAAAACAAGAATCATCGACACAGACAAATTTTGGAAGATAATAAAAATTATAGAATCATTTTATATTAACACAATTAAACCTTCACTAGACAGAGATTCCAGATTAGAGGTGAGTAACCTGTGGCTACCATTGGTTGAATCTACAGGAAATTTCTCCTCCAATCACAAACAGGAATAAACCAACCAATCATAACACACTTTCCTCAATCCACCAGAATACTATAAAGACCAACAACACCTTACACACACACTGACCTGAAGACGAAAGGTAGAAGTCTTTTGAAACATAGTCCTCTACAGTTGTCTCTACAACAGGCAGTTGCTGTCCATTCTACAAAGTTTCATCAAAACTGTATCTACATTTAATTTTCAAAATAACCATGCTAAACATAATTATAGAATTACCAATAACCATAAAAGCTTTAATGATTTGCAAATTTCAAAAAATATTTAAAACTTATCAGTTTTTGAAATGAAATTCCGATAGGACCATTTATATATAAATAATGTACCATGTAATTGTTACTCAAACTCTGTGGCAGATTCTTTTCACAACCATATTATTACTGAAAATGTAGATATAACCAGAGATAATTCCTTATAGAATATCACAGAAAAAGATTCTAAATACAGAATGTAAAATAAATGACATTTTAAATTCTGTAAAGATTTATATACTACACATTACCCTTCAGATTGGATATATGTGATTAATAAAATAAAAGATAAATTAGCTTTTATGAATTTAAATAAATATCCAATAAATTTAATATTTTTTAAGTTAAAAACTAAAATCCATAAGAGACAAATATATATATATATATATATATGTATATTGTACCTATCAGTAAAGCCAATCATAATTTTTGGCTTTATTGTAGACTTTTTTATGCAAAAG